TTCTTCACCCCCCCCCTTCCCCCCCACCGTCATACCGTCATGTTTCGATGCTCATCCGGGTACATGATTTACTCAACCCCCCCGCCCCCTCTTTCTCCTCCCCCTTCCACTTTTTATCCGTCGATCCCTCCACGTGGAACCGTCGCAGCCTGCGTCGTATCAGACGGCGAGTCAGTTAATCTCGACGTGGCGACGCTTCCCGACGCACCTGACGGATCGAAATGACGGAAGATGCTTTCGGGAATGAGACACCCCGCGGGGGCAATTTCAAGTAAATTCTATCCATTTCCAGGTACTTGTACCTGTGTATATATTTTGGCGGCGAAAATCCTCCCTCCACCCCGTATTCCCCCTTCATGGTTAACTCACGAATCTCCTTACGACAGCGCACCACAGTTTCGTTAGGTTAATTAATGCCTATTACTCATGTTCGTATCTCCTTCATTTCGTCCCTCTCCTACGTTGTATCTTGTACTTGCTCCCTCGCTCATTTACTTTCGTCATTCCTCTTCATCCCTCAGCCGTCCTGCATATTTCCCATCGTTATTTTCACTCGACCTCTTACCAGCCTGGTAGCAAATGCATCTACGCGTTTCGTATTGACGTACCTACTGGAGAAGCCATGAAGTTTATACCCAAGTTCCCTCTCGATTCGTTGGACGAATAACCATCAGTGGACATAGTTTCCATTTATCGGAAATTTTCAAATTTATTCATTGAAATGCTGGATGCGCACGTGTACGTCTACGTATGATAAATACAGTACTAATATATTGAAGCATGTAGAAAATTGAAGTCTAAATCGAATACCTACTTTAAAACTACAAGCTGGAGACACTGGGTCGAAAGTTGATTTTCAATTTGGACACTGCAAGATATTCTAATTGAAAGTTTCCAGGCGATATTTCTCTTGCCCGTTGTGCGGCGACGGTGGCGCCGCCACGCGGTTCTATTTGGCAGCGTAATTAGCGTGGATCGGCGAAAATGCTCGTTTACGGAATCCTTCCTATTTTCGCCCCCTATTAGATATTCACCCTTGTACGAAGTACGATAAGGGTCCCTACTGTATTCCGGTAATGAGCGTAACACCCCTACCGTCTCTCATTATCCTAAGAATGTATATATATATATATATACACTTCTTTTTTGGAGTGCTTATGCCTAACAAAGGAGAGCAGGAAACACCGAAGATTTTGCAATCTCAGGAAGCTGCTGCTTTTGCCCGGTATTACGGGCAGTTCGAGTCGTGGAAAATAACGATCGCCATAGCGGCTCTTTTATTTCGCAAAACAAACGTTCGGCTCTCCCTCCTTCTACTTACGGGCGCGAGCACCTATACCTGCTTTCCCTAGGGTGGCACCTTATACCTAACAACGTAACAACGCAGGGCGTAGGCCCATCTCCGTAGCGACTCGCGCGGTTTAGTTTAATAACCCAATATTGTCCCTGGCTATTACTCTTACTTATAAAGTATAATAGCCGTCGTTTTTACGCTTAATATGCTTCCAATTTGAATACTTAGCCCCCCCAGCAGGCTGTTCGCTTAGTTGCACGTTTTACCCACTCGTTTAGTTGCGTACCGGCTCAGTCTTGTTAATGCTCAGTGATAACGGGTATCAATTATAATTCACTTTGTGAATACCGTTGCCTCTGTACGTGGCTCGATAGTGCAAAAATTAGTTAGCGATGAATTAGTTGATAATTTATTATTATTATCGCATAATGTAATTGCTTTTTTTCTTTGTTCTTTAAACTAATAACTTTATATTATATATAAATTTCTCTCTCTCTCTCTCTCTCTCTCTCTCGCTCGCTCATTTCTCATCTTCATTCTACTCCGAGTTCTCTACTCGACGTTCACTTGATTCCCTGAAAAATACGTCTTCTCGAAAAAAAAAATAAGCTTACTCGCTCGCTCATTTCTCATCTTCATTTTTCTTTGTTCTTTAAACTAATAACTTTATATTATATATAAATTTCTCTCTCTCTCTCTCTCTCTCTCTCTCGCTCGCTCATTTCTCATCTTCATTCTACTCCGAGTTCTCTACTCGACGTTCACTTGATTCCCTGAAAAATACGTCTTCTCGAAAAAAAAAATAAGCTTACCGATAACAGCGAATTTGGCCGAGCTCCTTTTTCTCTCTCGCATGAATGAAATATGAATTGGAGAAAAGCAGCTTCCTTCGACAAGATCTTTCGTGCGCCGGTCGCGAGTCTTGGCTTTGGAAGATTGGCTGAATTCGTAAAATGGCAGAAAACTGGCAAGGTCAGAAAATAATGTACTCGTTTAACGTGCTACAGAGAGAATGAGACAGGAACGAAGAAAGAGAGAGAAGGAGAAAAAAAAGAAAAAAAAGTACACAAATTATGAAGGAAGAAAAAAGAATATTTAAAGAAAAAATTCGAAAAAAAAAATTTCTATTTGTAACTTTTAACGTAACTTTGTTACAGAACACGAATGCGCAGGCGGCGCTGCAGGCAGCGCAGGGTCAAGGTGGCCAAGGTCAAGGAGGTGAGACCCAAGGAGGTCCCAATACCGTCCTTAGAGTCATCATCGAGCACATGATCTATCCCATCTCCTTGGACATACTGTACCAGGTGAGTTTGTCTTATCAACTATTCCATTATCTTTGATGTAATTTGTAATGACCTCATCCCTTCACTGTATTACTAGAATCCTGTATGAATTCATTTCCGGGGATTCCCCCGAATCTCTACTTACCCATGTTCTGTAAAAGAAAATACAGGACCACCGATGTCGCAAACTGGTATTTGATAGGTCAGGTTAGGTTAGAGGCGTCCCTTAAGAGACAACGTATAAAGCCTTTATATAATGCAGTAACACTGGATACTCTCTATCTATACTTATGAACAGCTTTCCATAAGAGCCTGTATAATATGTGGAACAGCCAGAGCTTGTTAGTTAGCCAACCGGGATAAGTATTTATAGCCATCATTATGTGCGTGGGATTGTGATGGGGGGGAGGGGGGAGGGTTGAGAGGATCCCAAAGGATTCTGGGATAACAGGATAACGGGAGTGCTTCCGGTTTGAGTTGAGTGGCCTATGCATTTTTAATATCCAGCTCAACGTTACACGAATATACGCCAACCGGAACTGATCTTACCCTCATGAAGCAGTACGAACTCCGAAGTCTACGACAATATCTTGATGAATATATTTATACACAGTGTGGCGAATGGATAACCTGTTTACGTCACGTCCCACCACCCTTATACGTTCTTTAACACCTCGTGGCACGATGCGACTGATAGCTTTGTTGGATATTGAAATTTGTATCGTCAACTTGATAATTGCAAAGTGTCTGCTTAAAAGTTGATTCAGTTCAACGGGTACTGATGGTACTCTGGAATTAAGAATCAGGTCCAGGAGCCAAGATGAAATCACGAGAGGAGCTAAGGTCAGAGATTTCTCAAGTACGGAAGCATCAGATACGGAAGACGGGTAAGCCGTTAATGGATCGGTATGGTATAAAGAAAAAAGTCCAACGCTTAGCCTGGCCGGACCCATCATTGGAGGCTGTTTTAATACGTCTTCGGTGCACCGTTGCCTAAGTAGACTTAAAACAAGGCCGGAACGTGTGTCCGTGGGTAGATGTAATCAGCTGGAAAGATTAGTCGACGTAAGCTCCTAGTTAAGTTGGTAGTGCTGGTCCGAAGATCCCTTTGATCCTTGCCTTTCTCCCTGGACTGTGTCCTTCTCCACCTTTTCTCTTGGTCTGGCCTGTAGGATGGACTTGACTACTTTGCGGGGAGGACGTTCTACAGGACGTGTTGCAGTCTGCCTAACCCAACCTAACATAATACATATAGTCTAGTTGGTCCTGGCTAATGCCTGGCGTGTCTCCCTTACCTAAGGATTATTATCGAGAAATCCTAATCCTACTTAACCACCCTCATCCTACGTTGTGAAAACATCCTCGGGGAATACGGTACCTGGTGCACGTATGCCGTGTAACGTGAGTTTAGAGGAAAATTGGACTACGGTGTTACACGCAGCCAGAAGGTTAAGTAGATCCGAGAGATAAGGGGTCGGTCCTTGAAGGATTTGAATTGCCGGGAAATTTGAATTTTAATAATTTATGCTCGACGTCTTGACGATTATACAGTCTGCTTTGGCTTAATTTGTCTCTTTTCTCACATTCCTCTGTGTCCCGTCCTTGTCCTTTATTCTCTCCCTTCTTTTAGGTCCGACTCTCTTTCTTCTCTTTCCCACTTTTCCCTCGTCTATTCTCCTTACTCGCTTCTCTCACGGAGAGCGTCACGCTCTGATTAACCAGCCGGGTTTCTCTAAACCCCCTGGTGCCGTAACGTTAATTTATATCGTCGTGTTTTCTTCTTAAAATCTTTTTCGAGATTTAACTTTACGACGGGCGTTCGCGCTAAATGCCGAGGCTGAAGGAAAGTCTCGTCCTCGCTTACCTGGAAAGTTTGCGTCCTCGAAGAGAAAGAAATGAATATGACAAAATTTAGTGGTCGTGTTAACGGAGTTCAGGTGCGGGAGCGAGAGAGATGGCGATATGGCGTGTGCAAGTATCACGTAATGACGATCAGGTTTTGCAGTAACGAAACTTTGTAATAGAAGCAAAGTAGTGTAAGTGGTTTTTGAGTAACCCTTAAATTTTAATGGCACCTTTAAAGCCCAGCTTCCAGCCGGCTAATATTATGAAATAGCAGGAGCCCCAGGTGAGGCTAAGAAGTTTATCAAGGAAGGGAAGGCGATCGTTTGGTCGCTTGGTACAAATTTTAAAATTCAAATTTCCCGCTCGCCAAAGGTCGTATTAGTCATCTATGGTTTACCTAATGACTCATTCAAAGGAATTACACACTCAACTTGCCAGGCGTCCGTCCTGCGAAGCATCCCTCCTCGCGTTACTAGCCGATCCTCCGGGAGACGTGGAAACCCATTAGCCAACTGGGTACCTGCTTGTTTTTCATTTTGTTTGATGCACCTCGCCAGCAGCCCACTGTAAATGCAAACCCGTGTGTCTGTACATTAAAATGAAAGTGTACAAAGAAGAACGAATGTGAATACACGATGGGAGCGAGTGAGAAGGAGATGCAGAGCAGACCGGAGAGTGAGGGAGACAGAGAGTGTAAATGGAATACATGAGATTACATCAAATATAAATTCACGTGACGCCAAATAATCGTGACGGACTTTTCAATATTTCCTCCCCCAAATCAACATCGAGGATTTGCTCTTTTTTTTTTTTCTTATTCCCGGCATTATAATCATTCTCCGATACGTTTCTAACATCCCCTGTATAAAAGGCATTACCGGCGTCCCCGCCACCCGGACAAGGTCCCTGAGCGTCGGGCGACAACCACCCCCCGTCCTCCCCCCTACTAGAATATAGGCATAAAACGTTGGAAGCGGAAATGTGCTTCTAACATTTATGTCGCGTCTGTACACGGGGATAGGGATGACGGCAAGAAGCGAAAGGGGCGGACGGTGGTTGAGTCCTCGGTGACATAAACATAGCGAGTGGCTGGCCGGCACCTGGGACACCCTAAATCTAGCCTTATTAAGGTCCCCGGTGCGTCTTCCAAAATGCTAGAGCGTCTTCTCGCGCCATCGTAGCCTCTCCCTCTATACCCCAGCGTCACGACGACGCACGTGGTGCACGGCAAACCCAATCCCGCATCTCTTACACCGTTTATACCGAACCTGATGGCCGTTCGCATAACGAAGGATAATTTAGCGTAATGTATCATCGACCCCAAATCCATGTTGTGGGTAGGCACATTCCAAGAGTACCTCGCATAACCGGGACCGAAGATCCTCTTGAAACTGTCAGGGTAAATCAGCTCATTCATCCCTTAGTCCATATAGTTATACGTAGCCAAGCTGTATATATCCGCCTGCAGGGAAACTACCCCCGATACAGGTAGTCACATTATGTATCACCGTAGACACCCCTATGCAAGCCACTCGTAAGTAGTACTTACCTATCTGCCCTACGAGCTACCCATCTCCCCCCCCCCCTCCATCTCTTGACTACCTTTCTTACCACCAGCCCTACCCCTCCCTACCAATCCCATTTAATTTATCGTCCAGCAGTTTGCTTGCCCTATTTCCACTACGATTTTGCCGCAGAATAGAAAGGCCAAGGGGGTCTTAGTAATGGGACAATACCATGACGATTGTGTAAGACACTCGGCTCTCTCACCCTTAACAGCCAGTAGCTACCCTTACGAGAGGAGCCAATTGCTTTCGCGCGGAAACAAAACGCATGAAAGGGAACTCGCTGCTGCCTTTGGAATTCGCATTGCCGTCGCGTCGAAGGTGCCAGAAATGGTGGTGGTGGTGATGATGATGATGATGGTGGCAGATGGTGGGTTGTACCAGTGTAGGCAGGCCCCCTTGCCAGAGACAAAGAGTATGGAAGGAGAGTGGCGGAGTTGAGCCACGAGAAAAGGGAACAAAACACAAGCATTAATCACATGTTTCTGCTGTTCTATGATTAATGGAAAAGCAGCGCAGCTCTAGACACGACGGAACGCCTAATGTTCCGGTTCGATCGTTCCAGTTGTTCGTTCTCGCGGACACTCACTTCGTTCTTCGTCCTTTTCCTTCTCTCTCTCTCGCTCTTACCAAATTCACCTTACATATACCCGTAATCGCTCCGCCGATACCTCCTGCTTTCGGATGTCTGTCATTGCAAGAGGCTAATCGAAAAATTTGAACATCGATAAATCACTAATTAATTTGAAAAAGGAAGGAGAATAAACTTACGATATAGGTATAAAATTGAAATTCACATGAATTCAATTCCCGGATGGAACCGTCGTACGGAATGTTTCGAACAAATCTGTACACAACAAATCCGCAACGAGCGTACTCGCCTATGACGCTCGATCGCACCATGTAAATTCCACGGTAATACGATTTGAAAGCGTCCGGCTCTTCGACGTACCAAACCAAAACCACCTCCCGCTCCCCTTCGTGCACATTAATAGTATAGAATTCCTAGGGTCACCGTGCCAGAGCAAAGCGACGAATAAATTCGAAAAGCTTTAAGGGTCGACAATACTCGAAGCTCAGTCGAAGCGTTAACGGTCGTTCGGTACAAAGTAAGCATTTACTACGCGCATAATTTTTCGTTATTTTATTTAGTTCGTCCACTACGATAAATACGAATTGAAATTCTGCCGATTAAATTGCTCCGTAACTAGATACTCCGTCGACCGGAAACGAACTGTACGTTAATGGTCAGTCCCCATTAGCATTTGGTATGTCTTCTATACCTTGAAGCGAGGTTAGACTCGATGCCTTCCATACCCAGAAAGACAAATACCGGAAATGAATATGCGCGTGGGTCCCTTCCTGTCCTATTGGCCAGCACGAAGAATAAGGGAAGGGGACTTGATTCGCAAAATCGCGTTACCATTACTTCCTATTATTGCATTAGCCCTCTGTCGTCCTGTATCGTCCAGCCGTGTGTCGAGCGTCGAAACGCTCGACGCTTCCGACGCTCCATGCGCTCCGGTAGATTTGCCGATAATTGAACGTGCGAATTAATAACTGTTGCACCAATCAATAACGACGGTTAGCGCAGCCCTGACCAATCCCCGTACAGGCTTATCGTCCCTGTGGACGCGGCTTGAAGTTTCCCTTGGGACCGATCGCTCCAGCCTACTTTCAGTCACGGGACTGTACGCTTAACCTACAATTTGTTTTGCATTGTAATCGCGTTCATTGAAATTGTACTTGATGCGGTTACTGTACGCCATGCGCAACTGTGTTCTGCGTTATGTAATTTGTATATGAGGTCGACCCGCGTCGGTTACTGTCGTACTAATAAATGCTTCAAAACAGTCCCCACTGAATTTACTCTCGTCGAGATACGGAAACACACGTGAATACGTAAACGAAAAGGCAGCAGATCCTACCGCAGTGACAGTTACGAGTGACAAGGCTGTCTGGCAAATTATAATGCACATTAATTTCCATTGAACGACGTATCTCCGTTGAGCGTTGCTAGACCAACCGATCGTCAGTCTGCACTGCACGCGTGGTGCAGGACGAAAATTAACCCGGCTTCATGGATAATTTTACTGCCTTCGGAAAACCTATTCACATATTCCTTGTCAATTCATCGATATTTTTCACACACGTCGTTTCCATTAGACACGAATTTCACGTGTGACGTGGGCACTATTGGTGGCTTTGACGTAACTTCAATTTTTATAAGATTTCCCAAGTAAGCTTCGATCGAAAAATTCAGCATTGTCTGCCGGCTGCGTGCGTTACCTTCGATTCACATATGTACTCCATATGTAGTGTGCACATACGAACCGCTTACTTGAAGCGCCATTGGCTCGTCCAAGAGAACGTCTCCGTTTGCCGCAGCAGCAAGCGGAGTGGAAACGACGACGACACAATAAAACGCTAGCAAATAAAATATTAACGATAGTTTGGCTCACGGGTGAGTATGTGGACACACGCGAGAGCACGTGTGCACCTCATACGTGTATACGGTTGATTTCCCGTGGGATTTGTTGCGAAAGTACACAATGAGGCTGTTGGAACCTGGCATTGATGTATATATGTCTATACGAGACGATGTACGTGCACGTATGCGGGCATATGTGGAGAAACTGCTGAAAGCTACTGAGAAGAGGAAAACGTCGTCGTAGCTCCAATACAGATGTGGATATGATGACGTACAGGGTGGTTTGGCTCACGTGGTTCCTGTCGCCATTTCAGCCAATAAATAAAAACGCAATTTGAATCGGATCGCGCATTTGTAACGCGATCCGACCCCCGCTCCCTCCCTCCCTCCCCCTTTACACCCTTAATCCCTCACGCTATTTGTCCCATTCGTATATGTATACTTCCGGAACCAGGATTTCGATACTTGGTATATGTTATAGCTAGTCCGTAAGAGTGGCTTGAAAATTTCGAAATTTAATAATATACACTAGAGATTTCCTCAGCCCACCTCAGCTACCATAAACCCACGGGGGATATTCTGTTACCACGTTTTATTTTACCTCTCTGTATAATGTATGAGATTGGTACTCCCGGCTCTTGTGGAGCCAATTTCTCCTCCCTTACGTTCTTTCACTCGGTACCGCGTTTCAGTGAGATCTTATCTGATCAATCGAATTTATTATCGATACCCTTCGATGCGTAATTGCGTTTCTTATAGGGAACAGTTTTTTTTTTTCCAGTTTTCTTTAGTTGGTAACGGTGATGCGAATCTTGGCGTTAGTCGATGCTAAACACTATTTATGTGGTTAATACGATAGCCCGGCAAGAGGGGGACGCTGATTGGTAGCTAGGAAGGCGGGACTATTTGAATTTCGGATATGGCATACAAGGGACAACGTTTACTTTAATAACAGGCAATATCGTTAATGGCCTACGTTATTTGTTCGATCGTTAATTAAAAGGGCACTTATAATTGGAAAGGGCGTAGGGAATTTTATAGTGAAAAAAAAAAATGAACAAATTCATCAGATATAGATTTTTCAATAGAATAACGAACTCCGATCAGAAACGTCCTTTCATCCGCTACGAAAATTTTCTGTAAATTTTCGTTTAATCACATAAAAGCATCTCTACTAACCACAAATCTGAGATAACTATATTCCGATAACAAGAAACAACCACTCAAAATATGCCCCGTTTCTGTACAACCGCTAATCAACGGGAAATCTCTTAACATACTCTTATTTACTGATAAAGATTTAAATATTAACCCGATATTCGGTTCGCTCCAATTCGAAGTATCCCAAGAATTTCAATGGATGCTGTGCGCTGTACCAAATCCCACGTTCCTCCTACCCCCCCCCCCCCCTTTTATATGTCTCTTTATCCCTTTCTATCCAGCTTCTCTCTTTATCCCCAAATCACTCACCCGCTCATTCTACTCTCCAACCCCGACGGCAAACGTATTCTGGGCATCGTGCCGTAACGACAGGCAGTGGACAAATATTTGCCTTTGCGGCAATAATATGATCATCGGCTCTACTCAAATACGACAATGCACGTTTAAGCCCGCCATATAGTATATGATTACCCGTGGTCACGATACGCGATACGTTTGTAAATGTTGCGTGGAGCACCGTTGGACATTTCGTTGATGAGAAATATAAGTGTGGCTATATATCTATACATGTAGTATACGTGGATATAGAAACCGTCGCTTTCAACGGTCCATTCTACTACGTGGGGACGCCGGTATAGGGCATAGACGTCCATCACAGTAATTGTTAATAGTTTTAACGAGATTGCACTGGGAATAAAGCCGTTAGGTACTCGAGAGACAAATAATTTTTATTTCTTTTGTTACGTAGGAATAGGGAAATTCAATGGCGATTTTTATATTTCGTTATTGAGCCAAGGGAAAGGAGACTCGCCCGAGGATACAGAGTACATTATTGTCATATTATTTTATACGGTCGATAGTTATTCGCATAAATCCTATAATGTGTCTACATATTTTTCTTCTTTTTTTTTCCAGATATTCACACGTTTTGGCAAGGTCCTGAAAATCGTTACATTCACCAAGAACAGTAAGTACCGTTACCCAGCCAACCAGCAAGCTAGTTCCTAGTCTTCCAACACGAAACGCATCTACGCTAGTATGCCATTATACCACTATACCACTATACCACTTTGGTAGTTTGTTACTTTGGTACCCGTCCTTATGCTCCTTGCCAAGCTTCACGCTGCACGCTTGCCACTGTTGGTACTTTCGATATTGCTCGGTGTAACCCTCTCGTAAGGGGTGTCTGAAAAGTAAAATCGCACCTAGCCCAATTACAAAATGTAATTAGCACCCTCGAGCATTAAAGATCCCCATAACAATTTTTTCATAAGAATAAATTTAAAAACCTGGTAGTTACTCAGTGCTCTTACAGCTTTTCGAAAAAGTACTTTTTACTCGTTCATCCGTGGCGGAGCAAATGGCTTTACTTTTGGGTACTGAAAAAAAAAAAAAAAAAAAAAGTGGATTTATCAAAATCATACAACTGGCTGGAAACGTCCGTTTATTCGGGTTCACTGACTGTCGTAACCAAGAACGCTGTAACTCTCGTGTCACCCGTTAGAGGCGGTACTACCAGGTGAATAAGGGTGGCTGCCACAACTCCCGGCAGACACGTTACGTATTCATGTCCTACGGAAAGCCGAGAGAGTACGTGAAAGCGTGGTGCATGTGGGTGCTTCATATAAGTATTTGTATGGTCCATATAAGCATTTGTGTATACTATATACATATAATGTGGTAATGGTAACCTTATACCATGACACAGCTATGCGCTTACGTTTCAATGTTTCAAATGCACCGAGTTACTAGTACAGTCACTCTGGACCAACGTCCTCTGGACGTCTACGTGACGCTCCGCTACGTTCGTCACGAATACATTTCATTGAGTATAGCAAATACACTGTTAGGTCTGATACAACGTGGACTTCGTACGCTTTGGTAATAAGAAATTTCCAGACCAAGATCAAGATCACCCTATATGGTCCGATTCGAAAATTCATCCCTTACCTGTACTTTGAGCTCTGTACCTTAACTACGTTTTGTAGTATTACTATAGCATCGTATTATTGTACTGTATGGTACTGCAGGATATTGCCTTACCGACGGATGGAAAGTGCCTTTTGTAATTTACAATTTTTTCCCTTTGTTTCAGGCTCTTTCCAGGCTCTTATACAGTATCCTGACATGCTTTCGGCTCAGACAGCTAAATTCGTAAGTATGGTTATTAGAGTGGTAATTTGTTTTTACGAATTCTCGAACACTATAGGCTGTATTCTACCGAGTCTTGCAGATGGTTGTACCAACGTTTTTATTTACTTCGCGTATCAGTCGGAGGAACGAGCAAGTCTTTGAAAAAAAAAATTGTCAAGATCCTTTTTCCCCGAGAAAGTAACCAGCGTTACTTTCTAACTCTACGTTTTCTTTTCTCTATTTACCTAGAAATTCGATTAATCCAACTCGTATACGCCGTACTGGCTTATATCTTATCTTGTTAGTTAAGTCACTGGTTACTTCTATCTTTTTCTTTTTGCTTCTCTTATAAACCCCAAGAATTCTAAGAACGTAACGAGCACTACCCGCTACGTACTTGATACTTTAGAAATAAACAATGATGAAAAATCTCTTTTACACGTTTTTCTTTATCATGTAAATTAATGCTACTATCGTTACAGTGATAAGCGATTTTCTGCAACTGTCATCAATTTTTGTTTATTTATTAATTCCTGGCTCAATACGATCCTCCTGAGGAGGTTGCACTTCCGGTTTAAAAAGAAATTCGATAAATGAACAACGCGGTCGAGATTGGACGTTTAAAAATAGTGGGGGTGCGTCGACTAATTTAATGAACAGGGGTGTGTACCACAAGCTCAAATAGCGAGGTCCCGCGTGACGTATGGTAGAACCGACGACTCTCGTATACTCGAGGCATAACGTGGGTACAGAAGGAGGGGATACTTGAGTTTTGTATGGTACCCCATGAAATTTCTTGGTAAATGGTCATTACGTGCGAGATTCATTAGTATGGTAAATATGTGCGGGGCATAAAGCCGCATTCAGAGAACGGAAACTCATGACGTATGAAACGCGTAACGTAAGTCAAACAAAACCGTTTTTCGGAGGGGCTGACTGCGGCTACGCCATTGTTGCAGCATTTACGGTGAATTCTTAATGAAAATCAAATAGGAGACTCTAACCGCCAGTGGCCACCCTCTGACTTTAACTGTGTGTATATATAGGTGTGTGTGTTTACGTTTTTTGTTCATTTTTAGTTTATGCCCCCGAAGAGTGCCGTCATATTGTATTCGGATATTTTACGTAACGCGAATATTTTTTGGATAAAAAAGTTTTTATTTTATTATTTTTTTTTGTTTTTAATGCAAATGAAAATTTATTGTAACTTTTGTATTCTTCTTACAGTCTCTCGATGGACAGAATATCTACAATTCCTGCTGCACGCTGCGCATCGACTATAGCAAAATGCAGAATCTCAACATCAAGTACAACAATGACAAGTCCAGGGACTACACGAATCCGACGCTGCCAACAGGCGACGCGAATCTTGACGCTGCTTCCCTTGCCTTGGGGGGTGAGTTACTTCCTCAGCTTCTTCTGGGAGCATCGGGAAACCAACCCCGTGCCAGAATCCCCGGTGAGTCACACGTGACTCTCGGTAAGCATACCCGAGAATTTCAATGTGAAGGGATTTGTTTTGTCTTTCCATTTGTTTTTTTCAAAAATCGTATTTTTTTTATTAGGCGCGAGTCGTACGAATTCTTTCCGCGGTAGTCAAAGACGAACAAAAAAAAATACCCTTCTCTCGCGTACCGTATAGAAAATACCAACCCCCCCCCCC